CCCAAATAACACCGAGAGCCAGGACGCTAAAGCCAGTGTTCTAGCTCCCAGAGGCACAAAAGCCTTGTAGCTTGTGCAGCCTGCATTCTAGCGGACGCGGACGGACACACAGACGTTGCACGAGATCACTGCTGCAAAGGAAAAAGGCAAATGAGGAGAGCGGCTGGAGTCATCCAGGGAGGTTTTTCAGGCGACATTTAGGTTGGACAGGTGATGCTCTGGGCAGGGCAGGGGCCACAGTTCCAGGCAAAGGAAACAGCGCATTCAGACTACACAGAGCAGGGATGAGCTGAGCACGTCCAGGGGACAGAACGGCTGCAGTGACCAAGCCACGGTGAAAACGAGAACGGGAGGACGAGGTTGGCAAGGCGGGCTGGGGCCGGAACACACAACGGGAACTTACAGGCTGTAATAAAGTTTGCGTTTTATATTCTGTGTGTAATGGGAAGCCCCTCAAAAGGTCTTAGACCATGTCTCATGTGATGACTGGTTTTTAGAAGACCATGCTGGGCCGGGCGTGGTGGCTCACGCCTGTGATCCCCGGCACTCTGGGAGGCCGAGGCGGGAGGGTCGCTCGAGGTCAGGAGTTCGAGACCAGCCTGGGCAACATAGCGAGACCCCACCTCTACTAAAAAATAGAAAGAAATTATCTGGACAACTAAAAATATAGAGAAAAAATTTAGCCGGGCACGGTGGCGCATGCCTGTAGTCCCAGCTACTCGGGAGGCTGAGGCAGGAGGATCGCTTGAGCCCAGGAGTCGGAGGTTGCTGTGAGCGAGGCTGATGCCACGGCACTCTAGCCCGGGCGACAGAGCGAGACTCTGCCTCCAAAAAAAAATTTTAAAAAGACTGTGCTGGCTGCTGTGTGTGAACAACAGACAGGAGGGGTACAAGTGGGAACAGTATACGCGGGGTAGACAGAGACTCCAGGGGCCCACAAACCTCCTGAAATTGGAAACAAAATTGTGTGCATTTATGTTCCTATATACATTTTTTTTCCCGGGAGAGGATCCATAGCTTTTACCAGATTCTCAAGACAACCCAATAAGGGTTAAGAACCAACGATCTACAACACTACCAGTTGATCATCAGTGAACATTCTAGAGCAAATACTTAATGTGAAGTTAAACCTAGGGCCCCGTGAAATCCACTCAATGCCTTTTGAACCCTGAAGATTAAGTGATAATACTTATTCATCTGTTAGTATATTATAAATGCATTCTCGCTAAATTGTAGTAAGCCATATATAGAATATATGTAAATGCGTGTACAGAAACAGGCAAATTCCATAAATGGGTTAGCGATTTTCATATATTTTAGAATAGTTGACCCTAAAGGGGTATGCGTGAGAAACCACTCACTGACCACCTGTACCCCTACATAATACAAGGTTTGTTACGTCGACTTCATAACGTAATACGTGATCATCTAAACGGTGCATTGTCTTAGACGGAAGGAAAGTCACGGGTCTTCTGTGTGGGCAGTGACCACACTGTGAATTACTGACGGGTCTCGTGAATACCTCTTAGCTCCTCTAACGCGATCCCCCAGGGACTGTGAAGGACCCTGGTCCCGCGCTTACGGCAGCCCCCCAAAAGTTACGTGTTCAAGGAATGTGGGTGGGTGTGCTGTATTCCATTTCTGCTGTAGCTGGCAAAGCACGGAGCTCTGAAATAGGGCCTAGAAGATATCTTCAGATGGTATGTTTGTAAAAAGACAAAAGACCCACTACGCTCTTAATGCATGACTCCGTGATACCATAATCCTAACCATCAGAGCTCTTTTGAAAACTCGGAAGAAAAAAAGGTAGAAAAGGCTCTCCAGGCCGGGCGCGGTGGCTCACGCCTATAATCCTAGCATTCTGGGAGGCCGAGGCGGGAGGATCGCTCGAGGTCAGGAGTTCGAGACCAGCCTGGGCAACATAGCGAGACCCTGTCTCTACTAAAAATAGAAAGAAATTGGCCAGACAACTAAAAATAGAAAAAAAAAAAATTAGGCGGGCATGGTGGCTCATGCCTGTAGTCCCAGCTACTCGGGAGGCTGAGGCAGGAGGATCGCTTGAGCCCAGGAGT